CTCCCTCTCCCTCTCCCTCTCCCTCTCCCTCTCTCTCCTCACACTGTATTTTTTAACTCAACGTCTCCAGAGCACAGTGTTATCCGAACGCTTTGCCGCTATCCCACTGGGATTGTCATCTCTACCATCTGTGTCAGTGAAAGCCTTGTCACGCCCTACTCAAGCCATAAAAGACAAATCTCCATTCTGGATACAGTGGCTCAGGGACCATTTCTAAGGATGAGTTTCTATCTACAACAGGGTAGACTAGGTCACACTGTAGTAATCAACACTGCCCAGGGCTCAGCACCAGTTCACACTACGTGTCTACAGCATCGTTCAGGCTGCTTGACCTATCCCATATCCTCCCTGCAAGACATGAGTTTCCATGTGGCTCGATTCTTGTTGAAAACCAAATCCATCTGTTTAGATGTGACACGTGCCACTCTGACTCACAATTTCACTGTTCAAAGCAACACATGCGACTAGGAAAGACAGGATAGACAACCCTTCACCCAATTCCTTTCCCATTCCCTTCTTTTCTCCTTGGTACAAACAAATAAGCCATGTGCTTGGAAATCAGAATCCCAAGATGCTTCCTATCCAGGACAAAGCCACTGTGTCTCTGGAGAATACAGACACAGATGATACCAGGAGAATTATGCTGCTTGTACTGTCTTTGACTTCAGACAAGACAGTGGAAGTGGCAGCCGGAAGACACTCGGAAAGGTGGAAGTAAAAAGAAAAAAAAAGATTTTCATTCTTAGACCTTTATTCTTTAAAATTACGGAAAATGGTTTCGGGACCCATCTGTGAATATTCCCTTTGGCATCTAATATTTCCAAACACAGTCCTAGTTTGGTCTTTTCCCTGACATGAGAGCCTGAGAGATAGAGCGGCCTACTCTTTGAGGTTAGCACTGACACCACTGTCTTCACCGGGAAGTCCACATATGACTGAGTCAAGGAAGCAGGAAGCTAGATAGTGGCCGCTCATGATACTTGAGTAAGCTTTCGAAGGTTAAGAGTATAGAAACTTTGCTAGCGTAAACTGCACACTGCATGAGCCTCAGTGTTGTTCAGTCTGCTACACAATCCACACTGCAGCTCATGACAGGTTTACTTGTAACATCTCCCACTCCTGTGTAGAGCTTCAACCAATTTCTTTTTAATAGCTAGAGCAAAATCCAAAGGAAACATCTGCTTTTGAGTGGGTGACCTGAAGTATGCAAACATTCTTTTTCATCATTAAGATGGTAAGTATTTCAAATATCAACTCTTTTTATATTTTATCTCCTATGGCTAAGAAGAAAACTAAACGCCCTTTATTCTTGCTATGTTCATTTTAGATGGCAAACCTGCACATAAAGGAAGATTTCTTGGCTTCCTGTATGATTTCCATGTTTAATTGTTTGCATCAGATTTTGCTTTTTAAAGAATCATGACACTGTTGTCAAGATAATAACCAGACCAAAATGTATAAAATAATAAAAATAAATGTTAAAATAGAATTTAAATGTTTCTTCTATTGTTTTGTGCTCTGTGGTTGGAATTACTACTTTTGAATGACAGGGAAAGAACACACTCAATATATTACATATTAATAATTCATTTGAATAATGACTATGTTTAAGCTTTAATTTGTTTGATGTGTAAAAGTATATTTTCCCCATAACTATAACGAAATTACAACTTTAGATCAATTATCTGTGTGTCTGATTATTCATTGGGACCTAAGTCATCACATATACTAAAATAAAGTCTTTATACAAAGGGGATAGACAGTATATAGATTTGAGTGGGAATTTCCAAGGAAAATGATATTAAGATGCTTTAGGGGGAATCTAGCATGGATTCCCATCCTCTGTAAGAACTGTGATTAATAATCCCTCTGAAAGGGCTGAGGAGGTAGCTCGGAGGGTAAAGGGTTGCTGCATAAACAGAAAGATCCCAGTTTAATACACACACAAAAGGAGAGCATGGAGAGGCACATCTGTAACTCCAGCCCTGAGGATGCAAGGGCAAAGAGATTCGTAGGATTGGCTGGACAGCAGCCTTGATGGGTTGTTGAGCTGTGGGTTCTATTAAGATTTGCTGTCTGGCAGGATACAGTTGGAAGGGAAAGTGATAGCAAGTGGAGATAGGGGACAGACTGGGGTTACATTGGATCAAATCATAATATATATATATATATATATATATATATATATATATATATGTGTGTGTGTGTGTGTGTGTGTGTGTGTGTGTGTGTGTGTGTGTGTATGAATACATTTTTCAAATGATAAAAAGAATAGGTGAAGAACTCAGATGTACAGAATACCAAGTCCATGTTGCAACCCCTGAGCTCAACACCTTCAACAAATATTTGCTACATTGTTATATAAAACTGGACAAGCTACATAAAGAAGCTTACATGCAAACAATATAACTGCGGGTCAGAAAGCACCATAAAAAACAGTCCACGCTTGACTCCTGGAGCCAACGTGTGAACAGCAACAGAAACATGTTCTTCTCACATACTGAAAAAACTACTTGTTTACTTGTTAAGAACTGAGTTCAAATGTCACATTATCACTAGCAATATATAACAACAGTGTGCTACACTGCAAGATGATGTTGAGTATTTATTCTCTCCAAGTACTTAATTACCATTATTTTTGTAGCGTTCATAGTTTTAAAAAAAAAAAGTAAGAAGGAATTAACATCTAAGAATAAACAGATATTCCTTATTGCACTTCTTAAGGAAACTATACAGGCTAGCATTTTCTAGCATAAGCTGCCATCAGATACAATGTGTCTGAGCATCGGCATATATAACTTTACATGTAAGAAAGCAAGCCGCTTTGTTGAGGGAATGACCCAAAGCTCCTTAATAGCTCTGATGGGGCTGAGGCAGGAAAAGGAATCATGGAGAGAAGAAATACCACTGAGCAGGATGCAGTTCGTGCAGAGGATTCCTCCAGGGAGACTTCACATCCTTATGGTGAAGTCAGCCTCTGCAGAGTGACCTGGGTGATTTGTGTCTACAGGAGACAGTTTTATATATCACATTTCCTTGATGAAAATGACAGCTGGTTTTTGCTGAGTCAAAAAAAATAGAAATGAAAACCCTGTTCACTTCAGGTCAAGCCGTATATCATGTTTCTTTCTTATAAATGAGCTCTTAAACAATAAACAAACCAGATAAATCCATAAGATATGGTAACAATTTTAGTAGGGCAGCAGAGCTGTCCTAAATAAAACTCTATACGGCTAATGAAAGTTACGCTCACCTCAAGTGCTTCAGTAAATGAGGCAGAATAGAAGTAAATATATAGATGATGCGATTTCCTACCAGAATAAAATGATCCTCACGTTGCCTTTCTTCCAGAAAGCTCTTGCAGATTTCCCCCAGTCAGGGTAAGGCTTGTCCTGAAGCATCATATCGGTGACCTGAAGAGGAGAGGAACTGGTTTAACATTTGAGGACATCTCAAATTCAGATTTCAATCCAAGTATAATATTTACACATACTGAGAACAGAATGTGCACATGTTTAATGTTGGACTACATGAAGAGATACAAATTACAAGTAATTTTAATTACAAGTGTAAGATTCATTCAATTTAGAAAGTGTAAGAGCGTGTTTGATTTTACACACTGGATGAGCACGTTTGGCTGGTCACCATGGAAATACTAAGACTGGTTTTTAAATGTTAATTAACATTATTTAGGATTCTTTCCAATTAACCCATGTTTCATTAAAACTATTAGCCTATACTATCTGTCTGAGCCAACGGCTTTATCAATGTATTTTGTCAGATCAAGTCCCTCTCCTCTCACTTGAAAACCACTTTCCATGGGATAGTAAATTTGATTAGTAGAGTCCCCCTAGAATATAAATATCAGTTTGTATTCACATTTATGTTGTTCTTAGGTGTTCCTAAAATCATAAGCTTCAAAACAGAACCTTCAGATGCCAAATCCAAATTCTTTTACCCAATAATTACACCTAAATCCTAATTCAAAGTCGTTTTTCCTCTCTCTCTCTCTCTCTCTCTCTCTCTCTCTCTCTCTCTCTCTCTCTCTCTCTCCCCCCCCCCAAATTCTACTGTCTGTGGCTTTTCCTGACTTACCTCCCATTCACCCCTGAAGTAGTAAATAGCTAATACATGAGCAAAGCTAATACATGCCTCCCCTGTCCCCTTGTTTACAATGCATGTGTTCTCAGTAGCCAGCACTCTCCCATCTACAACCCTGCATCTTCCAAAAGCATCCTTCTGCTTTCTGCCGCATGCACAGACGCTGCCCCCCTGCTGAGCCTGGGTACAGCTGTGTTCCTCTGAGCTGCCTCCACTGTTTGCTCCAGCACACACTTCCTGTCTCATCTTCTCATGCCAAAGCACACTCCATTTCCCATGTTAACACTTCTCTCTTCTTTCTATCAGCCTTGAAGATACCTTTGCATCCTCTCTGCTGTCTCGGGGTCTTTCACATAGCAGTCCAAAATGCTTACACCAAAGAGAAATGACAAAATGAATTAGTAAATACATGTTTATTATAAGAGACTCATTTGCAGGGTAAATTGCTCACGACCTACATCACATATTAATGCTTTCCGTAAATGTTCAATGTATCATTAATAGCCTGCTATGTGAACATTTAAAAGGCCTGTAAGTGTGCAAAATGATTTACCTAAAAAAGGAAAGTGTGATTGTGAATGAATCAAAAATGCACATACAACTTTTTTTCAGAAAATTTATAATCCATCAAACAGACATCATTACACTAGTTTTGATTTTAGTTAATAATACTCAAATTTAAACAATGTCCTCATCAGAATTAGAATTGCTGGGATCAAACACTAAGACCAAAACAACTTGGGAAAGAAAGAGTTTATTTGGCTTATTCTTCCACATCACAGTTCATCATTGGATGAAGTCAGGACAAGAACTCAAACAGTTCAGGAACCTGGAGGCAGGATCTGAGGCAGACAGGGGTCATGGAGGGTGCTGCTTACTGGATTATTCATCAGGACCTACTTAGCTGCTTTCTTGTAGAACCCAGACCATCAGCCCAAGGGCATAGGTGGGAGAGAAAGTCCTTGGTCCCATGAAGGCTAGATGCCCCAGTGTGGGGAAATTCAAAGGCAGGGAGGTGCAAGTGGATGGAATGGGGGCGGGGGGAATCCTCATAGAAGCAGGAGGAGAAGGGATAGAATAGTGAGTTTCCGGGGGGCAGCGGGAATGGGGAAAAAGGATAACGTCAGATATGTAAATAAAACATCCAATAAAAAATTAATTTTTTTAAAAAAAAGAAAGAAATACTCTTGTAGGGCTGGAGAGATGGCTCAGTGGTTAGAAGCACTGACTGCTCTTCCAGAGGTTCTGAGTTCAATTCCCAGCATGGTGGGAATTCCCACATGGTGGCTCACAACCATCTGTAATGGAGATCTGATGCCCTCCTCTGGTATGTCTGTAAACAGCTTCAATCTGAAGATGAGCTACAGTGTACTTATATACATAAAATAAATAAACCTTTTTAAAAGATACTTCCTGTGCTATCGTCGTGGGTCAAGACAAGCTTCTTTGTGCAGTGGTCACATGATGATGATAATTGGCAGCTAAGCGTAAGCTACAAACGGGACACCTACATCACCACCTCCAGATTTTGGGAATCACAGTAGAAGAGAGAGTGGGGAAGAACTAAAGAACTGTGGGAAAATCTCAGTTCCTCAGACCCTAAAGCTTGCTAATACCTATGGAAGCAACTAATACTGATAATTCAAAAAGGAAAGATATTATTTGATTTACTTTTATTTGTGTGTGTGTGTGTGTGTGTATGTGTGTGTATGTGTGTGTGTTCCTATGTGTGGAGATGTGTGTTAAGGTATGTATACAAGTGTGTGTGCAGGTGTGTGTATAAGTGTCACAGAGGACAGAAAAAACACAGAGACTGAAAAAAACATCAGGCTCACTAAAGCCAGAGTTACAGGCATTTGTGATCCACTCGACACAGGTTCTGAAAGCTCTGAGAGAGCAGCCAGTGTGGCCAAGCAAGCCATCTCTCCAGCCCTTGCTACTTCTAAAACAGAGGTAGTAGCTAGCTATTTTCGCATCTGTTTGGTTTTGTTCTAACCTTTCCCAATTAAATTTTTTAAATTTTCTCACTAACAGTGATGACCTTCGATTATATTTCCTCCAAAAAAAAGATTCAAGATATTTATTGACAAGATCCAAGGGAAGAGATAGAGAAAACAAGCATGAACCAGATTAATTGTAGTGTCACAAAAAAAGTAGGCAAACTAAAGGAATTTAAATCCCAAGTATTCAGACACACGCCCTCAGATGAGGAAAGAAAGATCCGCCGCTACAATTTCTGCCATCTTCCCTTCATAAGCCCTTTAGAGAACGAGTCTTGTGCTGAGTAATTTAACAAGACATAAAGGTTTTTATTTCATATCTGGACAGATTTAAAAAAAATGGTAAGATTTCGTTATTTCTTTCATCAGTATGTCTCCTGTACCTGAGAAGTATAAATGACAATGTTTTCATGTAACAGAATGATTACTGGGTGTGTTTTATTCCACTTTATTGTTTGCCACAGGGTAATTTCTGAAAATACTTATCATATTTTCTGGAGAGTAGTCATCTACAACTAGATAACCAATGATTATGCATCTTATTTTATGAAAACCACATCCAGGGATAAAGCCTTTTCTCAGGAAAATGATAAGACGGGGGCCAAGAAACAATCTGTCAGATGCCAGGCAGCTGGTCCTTTTCACCCCAGTTCCTAGTCTTTATTTTAAGTCACATCATCTGATTGATGAGAAGTCACTTACTGCTAAATTGGCAGTTGCAGAGACAATCATTATAAAGGGACTCATTCAATAAGGGAAAAATCCAATTACCTTCTGCATTAGAGAAATCAAATTTATTTCTGGTGCTGGTGAAGGGCAGTCTTTATGGGCAGAGATGCAGGAAGCAGAGTGAAGGGCTGTGGACGGTGTGTGGGGTAAACATGGTGTGTGAGTGTGTGTGCTATCAATGCAGTAAGTGACTGTTGATGCTTTTCTCACAGTTACACGGTAGCATGTAAAATCGCAGGGGCTGATTTTCTAAGCGAGGAGAAACATGTTTAACTCTCGGGGTCTCACAACCCTCCTCTTCAGTTTCCTGTCAACAAGGTTTCACAGAACCTCATCATTTTACACTTACTGAATTTTGTCAGAATAGTTTTTCTCAGGAGAACCCAAGCTACTTCAGGACATGGGTATTGTGTCCAGGCTGGGTGAGAAAATACATTTTACAAGTCAGCAAATGGTTGTAGAGACAGTTTGTCTGTATGGAAGCGACCTCTTTGACAAGATGCAATGGCGACAACACCACGGAAACACCAACGACGCCACAATGCATGCCTCATACTTGATGCAAAACTAAACGGGTCATAAGCCACCAGGTGTACTTGCTTACTAATCGTCATGGTAACCTCACACTTTCCAGCCAGAGACAGAATACAGTCAGTTAGATAGAGAAGTAGAACTGTGTCACACCTAATATATTGATGCCCACATAGTTGCCACTCTTGGTTCTGATCTGACCTTCAGGCTGTGTTAACCTTTCAGGTCAAGGCAAAGTTGTCTCTCCCTTTGAGCTCAACTTCTCATTGGTCAGCTATGAGCTTCCCGTGTGCATTATGTCCCTGCCCACATACTGCATCCTCTGGATCATCTCATGTATTACTATGTGTCCTACTGTCTCACTCCTCGAACATGTAACATTTCTCATTTCTCTCTTATGTACCTTCAGTAAATTACGTCATCTTCCCTTGGCTATAAGAGGGGGAAAATATAACCTATTCTTCCGTCTCACACATCATCCCCATATTGCTATGGTTTATGATGTTCCTGTATTATGCATTCCTTGAACATTAGCCCACAAGTGAATTAACTTCTCCAGTCTTTCATCCGGAGTCTATGTACAGCTTGCAATAGCTGAACTGTTTAGAGAATCAAGTGGGTCTAAAAGAAGAGATGCAATCAAGAAACTTGCCCACAACAAACCTATTTCTTTTCATTCATTTTTTTGCTATTATTGTTTTCATTTGTATTAGTGATTTTGAGACAGGGTTTCATTATGCAGCTTCTAGTCTGGCCTAGGATGTGCCATGTAGCCCAGATGGGCTTCAAATGCATGATCCCCCTGCCTCTTCCAGCTATGTTTACTATCATTAGGCTGAGAGAAAAATGGAGCCATGTGGCATCTTCAGGATCAGGAGGCATTCACTGCCTTCCTTGTGTTATTGTTGAGTGACACCAGAGGGGAGAGGGACAAAGAAAAAGAGAAAACTGATATTACCGCTTTCATTTCCTTTTAAATCATTTGTGTTGCTTGGCTGCTCAAATGTTTCCTTTCGTATTTTGAGTGTAATGTTTGTTTTTCTTTTTTTTCC